AACTTCACTTTAAGCACTGGCATTTGCTAAAAACAGGAATTAAAATTCAAGATTCCACTTAAGTTGGAATTTTTAAACACAAAGGGAAAAAAAGAAGCACATGTCTCTCATACAAGGTCACCTTCTGCTCAGGGACTTAGCTTTGGAGTGTTAGGTTTTGCATGGAAAAAGCAAGGTGAATGGGGAGGAGTTAATGCTAGAAGAAAGGGAAGATAAATAAACATTTCCTAAAAAACATTTTGGGTTTTCACAGGATTTTAAAACTGGGGAGAAAAAAAAAAAATATATATTGACTCCCAACATCATCTCTGTTTCCATTTTTAAGTTAATTTCCATCATAAGATAGCATTTCTGCCTTTGATAATATATTATTAAAAATCAGTCCAGATGTCTCATTACTATTACCTCCATCATATCGCAGAAAAGATGTTCTTTTATTTCTAAGAAATTTATTCTTACCACCCATACTTTAATGTGGAAAAAGCCTAAAAAAAGAAGAATAAAAGCCACCAGTGGAGCATAAAACAGCAACCACATGCACCCTTCACTATTTATCATTGACATACAACCACTCTGACCAATGCAAGTACAGTGATCAGCCGCAACTTTTGCCTGTACAATAACAAGTTTCATCAAGAAATAGAAAAGTACTATTTGGGAATATATGGATTCATATAACTAGTTTGATAGAAGGTGCTTGCAGCTAAGGCACTGGTGCTTATTTCCTCTTAGGAAGCAGCAGATGCTCAGGCAGTAGATGCCCAGGTATCTTCTTTGCTGGCAATGCACTGAGCCTCTCAGAATCTCCTCACAAAACCAATAAAGCAGGTCTTCAGATCTGTAATTAGGTTTACTAAAAAATATGACAAGGCAACCTTCAAAATTAGCACCTCTGCCACCACAGCCAGAGAATAACAGCTCTAACCAATCTGTCTTTCAGTTGGTTTGGACAATCTGCAATTAAAAGTCTCTCTGAAGTCCCTTACCAGCAAAAGAAAAGGAGCAGGAGTTCGTTCAGGAACAAAGACACCAGGGAGAAGATAAAAAACTGCCCTCAGGGAACCAGTGAAAGTCAGATCCCTGGTTTCTACCAAAGTAAGAGCTGGAAATAAGCAAAAAAAAATTGCCAACATTTTATTAGACAAAAGCCACAATATGCTAGCTGGAAGGGGCAGGGAGCGGGGCAGACTGAGAAAAAGTCTTTATTAGGATAATATAAAATTTGGGGGGGGGGGGGGAGGAGTGAGAGAGGGAGAGACTTAAAAACACCAGTAAGTATTTTCAAAACAATCTGTGCTCTTATTAATCATAATTCTAAAATCATAAAAAGACCCTCTTTTGCAGTGAAAACAGTCATCACTGTCACATGCTCCATTATGGAAAGGATTTATGTGGTTTCCTCTTAGCAATGCAAACCAAGGCTTGAAAAGTTCCACATATTTTACTGTTCAAAGCCCTCTTATGGCAACTACCAGACATTACAGTGCTCCAGAATTATTTAGCATATTAAAAAGCTGAAAGCTAAATAAAGCAAAGGATAGTAGCTTTAATACAGAACTGAAATTAGAGGTTGGATTCCTTTGCTCTAATGTTGGCAAGCTTCCACCAAAATTACTTGTAATATGTTGCAGAAACTATAAACAAATGGTATACAGCAAATCCCTTCTTCTTAACTCAAATCATAGGTCTATGTTTGAAGCAGAATTTGGACTTTAAGCCAGTGTTAATAGCACTGAGGTAAATTTGTACCACTTGAATGTTTTTTATGACCTTTATTTATGTTAAATCAAGGCACTCTTCATCAAAGTTTGTAGTTATAGTCTCTTATGTTTCCTAAAAAGAAAAATAAACGCTATGCCTCATTCTTATTGACTTCAAGTGGATAAAGGCCATGGGAACCCAACAAAGTGCTGCATCCATTTTTATCTGTTTTGCCTGAACAGGTAACAACTTCATTTTCACCACTGACCTCATTAACATAGACTTACTTGAATCTGCAACATAAAAGATGCCCCATAAAAGCAAATTGTATTTCATATCACACCAGGCTTTTCAAGCTACTACTTGATACACAAATATAACACCACATACCATTGAGCTAGCTCATCTTTTTCTTTTTCTTATTTACCTGTAGAAATAGCTTATATATCAAAAGGACACCAGGGATGTTGATTTACACAACATACTGATGGAGTCAGACTTTGCTAATGACCAGATTACTTCATTTTTGACCAGCTGTCTCCATCAGGCCACTTTAAAGAGGAACTGGAGTTCTTCTGCATATTTTACAAGGCTCTTTTAAAATGTGCAGTATTTCCATTTGCCAACTGGCATGTTTTCAAGGCAATCCTGGTTGAGCCATAACATATACAAATAGGAAGAAACACAAAGACTTTAATAAAAAGAAATCTACCATGAGAGCAAAGATTATAGCATAGAGTATAATAGAGTATTTCAATGAGCACCCACTAAAGGAGATCTCTGATTTTGGGGTTGACACTTCACAGTGAAGGAATCAACTGGTAGACTGTATATTTGTTGCAATGACACTTGCTATAGCACATGATAGCAAATGATCACTTACTAATTAGTTGAGGGCGGACGGGGGGAATTTTGAAGCAGTAAGAGATGCAAGGATCCAAGTGTGAATTTTGGCCACAACTAAACAGGCAATAGTAATGAATCTAGTAAAATCTACCGCAAAAGTAGGGTCTTTGCTTCTTTTTCCTCTGCAGTTTTCCATCACAACAGTAACCAAACCACACAGGTTTATAACAAAACAGGGAGTGCTTTTATGATCCTGTGCCTTTAACTACTGTGCTGAGGAAACACAGAAGATACTGCTCATTAAAATTATGGATACACTTTATCCTCCTTCCCTAGATTTTCTTTTGCAGTCTTCATTTAAATCCTTAAATTGATTCTTAAGCCCACAACATGGGAAGAACTTTCTTGGGGAGAATTCCTGAATGTAGAGGAAAATGTGTCTCACTGTACCAAGCAAGAGGAGGGTTTCCTAGTCCCAGGAGAGCACCTGGGGCAGGGAGAGGGGGCATGGCTTCCTTGAGGAGGCATGCCCTCAAGAGCTGAAGATAATATCATACTATAAGTATATACCCATATTATAGCTACCAGTGCACACTAAGACTCCCAATTACAAAGGACTTGAAAGCTGTTGTGCAGAGAGATCTCAAAGAGCACAACTCTCTGCACAAGATGCTCAATTGCAGACCCTCTCGTGTTTCTTTTCAACCACGTTCTAAAGCCCATTTTAAAACACACCATCTGCAAAAGCAATAAATATTATATAGAAAAGCTGAATAGATTTTGTGCGCTTTTTTTTTGCCCCTTTTTTTAATGCTTAATGGTTTCAACATTTGTTTTTTGGAAACGGGGTCTTTAATGCATGCAATGTTTTATGCCTGTAAAGAATAGTTGTTTGGAGAGAACACTGAGAAAACCCAAATCACTGCACCCTGGCCTGCTTGATCAAGACCCAGTTTCCCTGCATTTCAGTCACATTAAATTCCATTCTCCTCAGTTTAAAATGTCAGTTAACTCAAGATACATCCCATTGCATAGGGTAGACACTGGATTCTCCTGACTGTTTGACTGTTGTTGAAATGTACCTGTAATTGATAGCAAGATAAGGACTGTTAAAACCAGGGTATACTGCCATTGTTTGCGAAAAAATGTTTCATAAACAAAAAAATAAATTTGTCTTTTTAATTCAGTCATACCCTGTAATTCCAACTCAGATTTCTTTAGTTTTATTCCACAATGCACCGAACAAACATTGCTGAAATAAGTCTACCAGGACCCCATCAGCAAAGACTGGATTTTTTCCATATGGAATAAATATTGGTATCATTTTCCATATGGCTTTGCTTACTTTCAGTTCTAAATATGAAAACAGCGCAAATAGAAACAGGCATAGAAGAGTTATCAAATCCTATTAGAGCCAAAATCTGGACACAAATGTAATACCATAAGGCAAACAGGTTTGGACTCAAAATGAAATTCCAAGACTCTAAGTGCTATAGGAAGCAGCTGCTGAACTCAAAACACATCACTGCATTTTCATCAAACCTTGGGGGTTGGGGGGGGGGGGGGGGGGGGTTGTGGTTTTTTTTTTTTTTTTTTTTTTCAAAGTGTTCACAGAAAATTAGTTTGCTATTTTGACAGCCCTAGTATGTAAAGCCTGATCAAAAGAGCAACTGTAAACATTGAAAGGCTACTTCCCACTCCCAAACAACAAGAATAACTATGTCCTGAAACCCAGCCAAGCAGCTGTATTTCAAAAAGGTTCTGTTTCATTCCTAATTTGGAAACAAAGGAGACTACTTTGTAATGTATTATTTGCATTACCCTAATAATCTAGAAACCAGATTGTGTGCTAGTACATACAAAAACTTAGCCTGTAATTTGGCAGCCTAGACTGTATCATCACGTATTACGCTTTTTTTATTAACAGACCTTTGCTTCATGGGAGTAAGGTGCCAGTGAAATATTTCAAGCAAGACAAAAATCATGTGTTACATGAAAGTAAGGGAAACAGTTTTGGCTTCAAACTGCTTGCTGTCTGGCTGTTTGTGTTTGATGCAACTCGTGGCAACTTATAGACCGATCAGACAGCTACACATTGCTCAGGACAAATGAATTTGGTAGATTGCTCTCAGGAAGGATTCAATTCTGACAGTAACCACAGTGGCAAGTAAGATGCCTCCAACTTCACCACACTCCTCAGTTTTTACAGTGCTGTTTTTGCTGTAGTAGGGGTATCCCCCATTTGCACAGACACTTGTTCAGAGTTGTTTTCGTCATGCTTGAGAAAGTTGTAAGGGGGGAGAGAAACTGTTCCTTCTGGTATAAAGTCCTGTTTCACTTTCATCACTCTTCCGCAGTTAGAAAACATACAAGCAAGGACAGAGGGGCTTCTGCAGTCAGCTTGTTAAGACACTGTATCAGTTATTATTGAAAGAATATTTAAATGAACTTACCAGTAGAGAAAACAAGAACTGTGTTGTCCCAAAGACCATATCTTTTCAGAGCATCAGTAAGATTTCCTACAGCTTCATCCATTAGACTCACCATCCCTGCATAATGGCGCCTCTTTACATCTTTAATGGAAACATATTGTTTCATGTATTCTTCAGGGACCTCGAGAGGTTCATGGACAGACTGAAAAGCGAGGTAGAGAAAGAGGGGCTGGGGTGGAAGGGATAGAACGGAAATTAGTTGAACATAAAGTACTAACTGCAAATATGACTGTAGCAAAAGCAGCCCTGATTCATCAACAGCTACAGGCACTGTGTTTTGATTTCTTCTACACTTTTCTTCTAATCCCTAAACATAAACCAATAAAACTTTGATAAAGAACTCCTGCAAAACTGTAGAAAAACATCAGGAGTAGCTTTTCTTCATAGCACAGTTGTTGGCATTTCCCTTCTATGAAATTTCTCCCATTAAACTTTCCATTCTCTTTTTAGAAAAGCAAACTACATACTAAATCATATCTACAAATTCATTACTTGTATTATTTAAAAAGTAATGGAGAAGGGTAGCAGGCCAGGGCTGTGCAGCCAAAGCTGATTCTGACAGCAGACAAGGCAAGTTTTACCAGCGCTACTTGTCACATTTGGCTCTATGTACCCTGCCAAAAAGCCCCAAATTACAGCTCAAGTACAGATCTCTCCATTAATATTTCATTAACATTTTTTTAAACACTCTTTTGTGCTAAAGTTATCAAAATAACAGCTGCTGACTGTACCTTCTCAGTTTTATGATTGGCTATAAGATCTATAGCTCTTTCTGTGAATAAATTAGTAGAGTACATATTTTTAAACCCAGTTGCAACTTCTTCTCCATCTCGGAAGTCCAGAGCGCAGCGCGTTATGTTCTTTGCTTTGATGAGGACGCAACGGTCATGAGAATAATAGTCCTCACTCCCCAGAAGGTAGCCTAGAACAGGAAAAGATGTCAAATAAGCAGGCCAACATAATGTCATATAAACAGATACATCAAGGAAAAATAAGTCAGAAATAAATGTCAATACTTCAGTGCTTCTGAGCTGAAACACTCATCCAGTGTTTGGCCATCTGTAGCGACATCCTTTGACAAGTCTAAGTAGCTCAACATATAACATTTCATAGACTTTTTATTGCTAATGCAAGTAGCAATTTCAAAACACGAAACATTTTGAAAGCCCTTCAGTGACTTTATATTCATAACTTGATATCAAATGCATTAGCATTAAACTAATGCCTTGGTAGTGAAGACAGTGACCTACCTGTGTACTACTCTGATATTTAGTTGGTATGATTTTCTACATTTGTATTTTCACATAAGACTTCTCTATTAGAAAGTTCAGAATTTTTTTTTATTTATTCAAAAACATCCAAGTACAAAGCATTTTTTATATCAGCTGTAAAGCAACTTCTGATCCACTGGTGACACCAGCTGGTGAAAAAGAGACACTATTATTTAAAGATACCCAGAAGAAACTAAGCAAAAATTTTAGAGGTATAGATTTGCCCCTATCAAGGGCTATCCTCTCAAGCACTGAGTGCCTTTGCTTTTTATTAGCCAGAAACAAATATCTAAATTTTTTTTGAATCTCAGTAATTAGTACTTTGGAAATTAGGTTTCAAATTTATTCCCCAATACCTTGAAAAAAGACAAATATGCAAAAATATATTCTTACGTTCTGCAAAACCAAACTAGAATTGGGGACTAAAACCCAACATGGAGGAACTTCACTTGAATTTTTATTCAGCAGCTTCAAGTACAGTTACTTGTACAAAAAAGTATGGACAGCAAGAATGAAGTTCTGTTTTAAATATAATATAAACTTCTAATATATTTTTAGGAGGAATAAATGGCTTTTGTTTCACAGGATTAGGAGACATTTTGTGGGCAGACTGCCTACATCAGTGTACTGAGACACAAGTTGCATTTTTCCATTTTGAGTGCCCAGTGAGGGAGACACCGTGTCAAGTTTCCCAAAGATTCGGATGCCCCTTAATTGCAATCAACACCTATTGGAATTACATTAACATTACAGGATATTAAACTGCTACATTCTCTGAAAAATAATGTCACGCTGGGCACCCAATGACCATGTGCAGAGCCAGCCAGTATTCATGCAGGGACCCCTGCACGAAGAGCCTGCTCAGTCCCAGGGTGAGATATCACAAGAATCATAGAATCATAGAATGTTTTGGGTTGGAAGGGACCCCTAGAGGTCATCTAGTCCAACCCCCCTGCAGGAGCAGGGACACTGCTAACTAGATCAGGTTGCTCAGAGCCCCGTCCAACCTGGCCTTGAATGCTTCCAGGGATGGGGCCTCCACTACCTCTCTAGGCAACCCGTTCCAGTGTTTCACCACCCTCATTGTAAAGAATTTCTTCCTTATATCTAGTCTAAACCTACCCTGGTTTAGTTTAAAACCATTACCCCTTGTCCTAACACAGCTGGCCCTACTAAAAAGATTTTCCCCATCTTTCCTATAGGCCCCCTTAATCAGGTCTCCCCACAGCCTTCTCTTCTCCAGGCTGAACAACCCAACTCCCTCAGCCTGTCCTCATAGGAGAGGTGCTCCAGCCCTCAAATCACTTTTGTGGCTCTCCTCTGGACCCGCTCCAACACTTCCATGTCCTTCTTGTGCTGAGGGCTCCAGAACTGGACGCAGTACTCCAGGTGAGGTCTCACCAGAGCAGAGTAGAGGGGCAGAATCACCTCCCTCGACCTGCTGGCCACGCTTCTCCCGATGCAGCCCAGAGTACGGTTGGCCTTCTGGGCTGCCAGCGCTTGGCCTTGTTGAACCTCATGAGGTTCACACAGGCCCACCTCTCCAGCCTGTCCAGGTCTCTCTGGATGACATCCCGTCCTTCTGGTGTGTCAACCGCACCACTCAGCTTGGTGTCATCTCCAGCCTATCTACATCTATGCCGTCAAAAAGATCCAAAGCTTCTGCAAAGGAATGGGAGGAGGTACATACACTTAAGCAACAAGATGTTATATTGCAATCCATATATATTAGCTTAATTCTGTTGTGAAACCATAGCCCCAAGATTCCTGAAGAGTCAAAAGAGACAAACAATCTAAGGCAATAGTTCTTCCCACCTAAAGTCTGTATTGCCCCTCCTGGTTTCAGCTGGGAGAGAGTTAGTTTTCTTCCTGGTAACTGGCATAGCGCTGTGTTTTGGATTTAGGATACGAAGAATGTTGACAACACACTGATGTTTTAGTTGTTGCTGGGCAGGACTTACCATGCTCTGCCAACTGAGAAGGCTGGAGATGCACAAGAAGCTGGGAGGGGGCACAGCCAGGAGAGCTGACCCAAAGTGGCCAAAGCCATATTCCACACTATATGACATCATGCTCAGTACATAAACTAGGGGAAAGCTGGCTGGGGGGCTGCTTCTCAGGGACTGGCTGGGCATCAGTCAGCGGGTGGTGAGCAATTGCATTGTGCATTGCTTATTTTGTATATTCTTTTATCT